TCAAGTTAGAGAGCTACGAGCCTCTGCACCCGTGCGCGCCGCCATCTTGCTACAAAGACTTTAAGTCTTACTGCAGTAGTAGACGTAGTATTTTACCTGACTTTGGTACCTCCAATCCTCTATCTGTGTAGAAGTTGTACATTTCTTCTCTTTCCACTGCAGGGGGGGAAACTGTTTCAGTAAATCTTAACACAAAACACATAAAAAGTACACACAATACTATGGTAATAACCCATGTTTTGAATACCAAAAAAAAAGTTTATGAACGACTCAGAATTACTGGAGAGTGTGACTCTTTTTAACAACAACAACGTTTTTACTGTGTAATTACACAGTAACTTACATTCTTCCAGAAAGGGAACCATTTTGTAAACAATATCCTGCAGTTTTCTATCAGGTCTGCAGGGGGAAAAGAAAACATTTTGTTGTACAACTCCACAATTCTGTAATTCTGGTCAATCCGAACTCTATAAAATGAAAAAAAAAAAAAAAATAACTCTATAAAATGAAAAAAATACATTTTTATTTTTTATTTAATGTACCAACCTGATGTTGTACAGAGGCTGTGTTTGATGGACCACGGTGCTGCACGTTGGACATCGGTTGCTGCTGAAGAAGTGCTTCACGATGCAGCTCTTACAAACTGGGACCAAAATAAAAAAACAGTAAAAAAAATGTATTATTTATTCTTCAGGGTTTGTGTAGATTAGTCGTTTTCAAACAGGGTGTCGTGGACCTCTGACGGCCCATAATCTGGGCATTGGCTGAGAGTATTTCAACACCATGATAACATTTTTTATTTTAAAGTACATACTGTATCTCCAGTTGTCCGTCATCTGTGCAAATAAAATATGAACAGGAAACATTACACTAGGGGTCGCCAACGTGGCCCAAAATCTGTACTGTTCGTGTTCTGTTTAGATCTGGTGTTGATGATGAGAATATTTCCATTATGTAAAGCATTTCACTCCTGTGAATTTACTTTTTACAACTATTTCCTGACTGTCGTTACTCACATGAATGCAGACACTCTGTGACGGTGGTGGCATCGATGAGGAAGCCGCAGCAGAGGGCACAGCGAATGTAGGGGTAGAACTGGTTCAGGGGAAGCTTTGTCTGAGGAAAACAAAAACAAAAAAACAGCGTTTACATCATTGTTTCCCAAAGACTGGGTCGCGACCTTCAGGTGGGTCACAAGAGTTTTTTTGGGTCGTCTCACATCATGTTTCCCAGAAGTTTTTGTGACTTTTGAAATATGGGTTTGGGAAACACTGGTTTAGATGTCAATGACAATATTTATGTTTAAAATAAAATATAAAACTAAAACAAACAAAAAATGAGCAAAGTTTGGAGTTGAATTTGGTGAAGAAATGTCCACAGTCCTCAGCAGGTGTTCCTGGTAAAACAATACTAGTGGGAACAATATTTTCCAGGTCCTCACTGGCTGAGAGGGTATTTCCACAAAAAAACATATTTGAAAACATAGTCTTATACGTTTTAAAAAACTTCATTTCAACTTCATTTTTACATCAACTTCATTTTGGGAACTTTTTACAGTTTCTCTGGGTGAGAAGGTATTTAAAGGTTTAAGATTCCACATTCGATAAATGGATAAATTAGGTTTAGAATTAAGATTGGGAAAATATTTGTAAAAGATAAGGTTTGAGAAATGTCAGTGTGAAGTACTCACAAAACCCAAAAGCTTGTGTGTGTGTACGTACCTCGTCCTCCGATTCGCTGTCAGAAATGTTCGTTGACTCTCCAGGACTACTGTGACCAAACGGAACTAAATCCATTCCCAACCAACTGCCAACGTCCGATGACAAAAATGGCGGATTATAAGTTAATCACTAACTAATTTAGTCCAGAGCTCCGTCGTTGATAATCTTCAGTGGCCGGTGCTTATAGCCGATTACCGACGACTGGCTACTTTAAAAGCACAACCTTTTCCCGACTGCGTGAAATGCGCAAACACACGTGCTAAACGTGTTAAAACAACAAAAGGACTTTCTTTAACCTGTTACGTCGCTTGCTTCTGTAATTTTCCTCGTGTTCTGCGCGAGCGGCAATAACAATTCGATTTCCGGTTCGAACCCTTAAAAATAAAACCATTTGCTGAAATAACTCGAAGCAATAATTTTTGATTGTGGTCAATTGTTTATCTGCTACACATTATCAAAGCACATGGCGTCGCTATCGTTACCACACATTTATTAATGGGATGATAAAAAAGGCAATAACCGAATATAACTGCTACCATGTTGTATAAAGTAGTTGGATGTGTAAACTTTAACATAAACGCAAATTCTATGTGGGTCCAAAATATGTCCGGAGTTGATCCGGTTAAATATAACATCTTAAATTATTACGTTGATTTTATCATTTTTAAAAGTCACATTTATTTTGATACACTCGATGACGTAGTTCCGGAAAAAAGTAATTGTAGTCAAAGCAAGATTCTGCCAAGAGGGGGCAGGCGAGGGGTGATAGGAGATGACAACGTTCTTGTAGAATTAGAATGTATTCAACACTAGGAGTAATTTCTCATTCGTAACTACACGATTATTTTACTTAAATGTTGTCATATAAAAGTGTCCTTTTTCAAAAGTATCATTCTTTATCGTTTTCTTTCATTATATTATATATTAGTATGTAAAAAAATAAATGTTCAAGATTCCAACCGGAACATTGTCACACGAACAAGAAACCGTAAATGTTCAAGATTCCAACTGGAACATTGTCACACGAACAAGAAACCGTATGGAACATTGTCACACGAACAAGAAACCGGATCAAACTGGTTCTTCATATCAGCACAGTCGTCTATACTGTATATGTCACTGCAAAAACACACGACGTCTGGAAAAACAACATATATTTTACGGAGAACATTTCTCGTACAGTAGGACGTGTTAACTACCGTTCTTTTAGCCCCCAGTATAACCTGATTCTACCGGTACCTGATACTACAGATGAGTGGGTGGAGCCTCCATCTCTGTACTGTTTAGAACAAAACCAAACTACGTTTCGACACCGTAAAAACAACTGGGAGTTCGGCCAAAGTCATGTTTTTATTGTTATTGTCTCGATAGTTGTTTTACGTCATCCCCACAATGGTAGGATGTAAGGATTTATTTTAAATAGATTTTAATTTAAACCTATGATGCCTTCAACGTTGCTTTTGATATTACCATCACTTCTAATAAATTCCTGCTTCACTCAAGAGCAGCAGCATTTTAAGCAACAACAAAAAAAACTCGAACTTTAAGACTCTGCAGATAAAACAATATATAGAAATTCATTCTTTATTCAAATCTGATTTAAACATGTTATTCCCCGCTCCGCCTCATAGTCCATGTCCATGTAAATTTGTAGGAAAACATTTGAGCAGCAGACTGAACCCGACGTGTATCCTCCTCACGAGAGGGGGAGAGTACAAAGTCAAAAATCAAACAAAACTCTTTCGCTGATCTGTTGAAACGTGAGGTGAACACGGGTTTTTGTAGTTTCATTTTTGATATGAACAGAAGTGTTGACGAGTACCTTCATTTCCCCCTGTGAGTTATAAAAGCATATACACATATGAAGGCCTGCTGTGAAACCACTTCCTTGTCTTGGTCTTAGTTAGAAGTATGGTTTTCAAAATCAATGCCTTATTACATTTTTGGAAAAAAAAAATCGTTTAGATTTTTTCTGTTAGCATCAGAGTCTGAATGACCTTTGACCTGTTGTTTTGTTGACAGATATCTTTGAATGAACAAAGTAAAGCGATATGACTGGATTCTTTCGAATGAAGTAAATTAGTAAAACTAAAGTACAGTTTTTCACTGTGTACCACTGCGGCCAAGACCAAATGACCTACGGACCAGCACTGGTCCCCAAGCCAGAACGCATTACCTGCTGTTTTGACCACATCTGGCCTTGACACTGTTCTACAACAGAACCAACTCTTTTTCAGTTCATAGTTCATGTCTGGATTGTCTCTTAAATCGATCCAGTGTAAATGTCACATCCTGTGAAGGGAACTAAACCAGTAACAGCCCCAACAGCGCACTAGTGCATTAGCATAAAGCGCCGTTGAGGCCATCCCTTCAGTAAACTTTGAACGGTACAAACTCTACCCTAAGCTCCTCAGATATATTCAAAAACAATCTTCTTATGTGCTCACTCTGCCTTAAAAAAATATTTGACTTCATATACAGTCGTTTGCACATCCAAACAGGACCGTCTGCACTGACAGGTATCCACCTGAAGGCAAGCGTGGAGTGTTCAGAGATGTTGGCTCCAGACTCAGACCCCCATCAGGTTCTGTGGATTTGCCTGTTCTGGTGGTGGGCAGTCAGGCTGGAGGCGACAAATGGACTTGTTGCACATGGGGCAGACGCTGCGGACCTCTAACCATTTCAGCAGACACCTGGAAGAACACGGGGCAAGAGAGGGACGGTCAACAGTCGTCATTTAATCCAACAATTATCCAACTGTTTTTAGCCATTAGCCTCTTAGCTGCACTCTTTGTTAAGTGCTAAAGCAAAAAACACTATAAAAAAATTTCCCCAAAACAGTAAGAATTAAGGTTTCCTTCATTTTGCTAGCGCTAATTAATCCTGCTAATGCTAATTAGGTTGTTTTTTTGTCATATTAAGGAGTGTTTATTTATCTCAATTAATTGTGATTAATCACAATCACGATTAATCACCACAGCCTCACTGTGATTAATTAAGACTTAAAGGTAGATTGAAAGTCCTAGTAGAACTGTAAAGAGCAAGGGGAAATATCCAAAACATGGTTTGGAAACGGTCCAAGAAGTGCTGCTGATACCGACAGGAGAAACAACAACAGCCTCAGCAGCCGTTCCATCCAGGTCACACCCACACTGCAGGGCAAACGCACACTTCATTTTTAGAGAGCATGTTAATTTTCAAACATGCAGAGACAAACAGGTCAGGAATTTAGAGGAATAATCCTCTAAAGATGCTTCTCCTGTCGAGCTAACACAGCTGTTTAGTTAAAGGCCAAGTCAAGTATGACTTCAGTCTTAGTTAAAAAAATTTTATGAGGACGGAGTAGAGTTAAAGGACCTACTTCCTGTGAAAAGCATGTGAACATGGACACACCCCGAGTTCATCTCTGCTGCAGAACTCTTCCAAACACACTGCACAGGTTTGCTGTGAAAGAGGAACAAAATACAGATAAGGTTCAAATCTTCCAACAACAACAGGCCTCGGCTTCTTCTTTGTTTTCAATCACATCGAGGGCAAATTCAAACAAAATGCAGCTGTGATGAACTGTAGTTGACAAATACTTTTTATTCTTGTTCTTGTCTCTGTCTTTTCTACTAAGCCTGGAATAGTTACCTTATGTACACTGAGCTAATAACGTTAGCAATTAGTTCCTTTTGCGCAGCTGCTCTAGGACAGCAGACTAGTACTCGTGTGCGTACGTGACTGTCTATAGTATGAGCACGAAGGCAATTTGTTTTTGTACTTTCTGTGCGTGAGCTAAATTTACCCAGCAGGGTAAATATGTCTGTATGTCCTGAGGCAGTTTTCTAACTGTTTTTACCCATTAGCCTGTTAGCTGCACTCACTGTAATTAAGTACTTAAACAAAACAACACAGTGAAACGTTTCCCCAAAATGAAGGGATTTAGGTTTTCTTCATCTTGTCTTAATGCTGCTAATGCTAACATACTAACACTCAAACAGTCATTACACACAGTACACAATATACGGTTAATGTCCTTGATATTTAACTTACACCCAGGAGGCTGAGTTTCTTTCCTGCTCCTTTCAAGACAACCTGTAAACAAGAACATTTTATTTAAAAAATACACACTTACTGTGGAACATTTTAATTTTAATTAATATATATATATTTTAGTTTTAATTAATATACACCTTTTAAAATGTTTTTTTTAAAAGCTGTAATTTAAACAAGGGTTCGGTGTTCTTTACCTTGTTGTACCCAAATTGTCCTTGTTCGTCTCGTCTCCTTAGCCTGAAAAACGTAAAAAAATTAATTAATTAAAAGGAATAAACAAAAACCAAACCAGTGTCATATTGTAGTCTTAGTCAGAGTTGAATTAGGGTGTGCAGCTGCAGGATTCAGATCTGTCTTTTCCGGGACATGTCTGGTCATGCTGTATGAATCAGCTGAAGCGCTGGAATCCAGACAATTTGTTTACACATTCTTTTTATTTATGAGCATTACTGTAATCTATGCTCTATTTCGCAAACGTAACACGTTCACACAATAAGTTTTAATAATGTGTTCGAGCTGATTGTTTTTCAGGGCTCCCAGGAGGAGCCGGAGCTCCAGGCTGCAGTCCATCACTCCACTGTGACTAACAAATATGTGTTATGGAGATAATGAACAGAGCAATGGATGTACGGCATCTGTGTGAGGGTATTACAGGTTTTTCCAGAAGTTAGCCTAGTCAACCGCAGCCTGCGGCTGACTTCCCTGCGGCCTGTTGTGTAACAGCCCAGTGAACCCGTGTCTCTGCACAACGCGACAGGCCTGCACTTTGACATCTGACCTCATTTACTTCTGCACGATGATGAATCCATAAAGAGACATTTAAGAGTTCTCAGAGGAGTCGTGCCAAAGGTACATCGTAGATGACGTCACCAAGTCACCTGACACGTCAATGTTACTGAATAATAATTTAAAGTTGGTCAATTTTTAACTTGTGAATTTTTGATAGCCCTGTTCTGGATGACTGGTTTCTGAGCCTTTAGCTTTAAATGGTAATGAGACGTCACATAACCATGGCAACGGTTGAGAAGCGAGAAAAAATGGCAAATCAGCACACTCTGACAATAGTCAAAAGTGCTTTTTTTTTTTCTTTCCGGAGCATGTGCAGTACGGTCAGCGTATGCTATTTCGCGAGGTATGATAAACTGTCAGGACACCTATTAATGTTTGAACTAGAATCAGACACAGTCGACGCAGCAGCTCCAGGAGGAGAGGATGTGAGTCAGTGTCTGAAGTGAAAGCTAAGACTCGTACTGCGGTTCAGGGAGGATTAACTGCTGGGATCCGTACCTGAGCTACAGTGGGGCAGTGTGAAAAATGTTTTAAAACGGCAGTTGGCATCAGCAACTGGTATCGGTCTGCTCTACTACACCGTCTGTGCCCTTTCTCCTACTTCTCACGTCACGCAATCCACAGGTTCAAATCTACGCCCTTCATTAATCTTCCTCGTCAATCTGCTCTGGTATGAAGTCAGATGTTGGTGTAAAATTAACCGCTACTCTAATTATTGTAAGACCTCAGCTAGCCTAGTCACATTTAGCCTAACAAACACGTATTATCAGCTCTAAACCTATCCGTGGTCGTGTACCTGAAGCGGTAGCAGCAGAAGATGAAGCTGAGCATGAAGATGAAGAGGCCGATGCCCAGGATGATGATGTAGACGTTGATCGGCAGGTTGAAGGGGGTCTCCGAAGACATGTTGCCGTGGAATTCGGATGTTCCTCTATCGAAGGTCACACAGGCTCCTTATTGGACGAAACACATGACAAAAAAAAAGTTCATTAAACAGGGATGAAACACTAATCCAACATTTGGCAAAGTCATTTTTTTTCTACATTTTGAGGCAGAAATCCATGATCAAGAACAGGAACGTCCACACTGGGAAAATGTTTCTGTAACCCATGTGAGATACTGGGCTACTAGGTTTTCATCATTGGGCTGGTAGTGCAGTATCATTGTACCAAAGATCCATACTGACAAAGCTAGCTTAGCGGCTAACTGAGTCTTTGAAGCCTATGATCAGGGAGAACAACTCTTTCATCAACAAGAGAAAGGCTTTGAAGAGGAAAAGAAAACCTAAAGTGTAAAACCACAAAGAAGCCAAGTGAAGATGAGTGGGAGAAATGATGATGTCATTGGAAAAATTAGATTATTATTGGACCAGATGTGGGGGGTTTTCACGGGCTGAAAATGGACCTCAGGCCAGGGGTTTGAGACCACAGCTGTAATATACTCAGGATGAATTCAAACCTATGATATAAAGGATGTTTAAAGTCTTTCAGTCAAAAACATATGCAGCGCCCCCTCCCCCCTCTCCAACCCCTGTGTATATAAAAAAACAAAACATACATAGACTTATAGGTGTGATATTAATCTCTAAAACCACCTTAGATCACACAGGTCTACGTGCGTTCTTCATAGCTGAGAAAAGTTCACTCCTGGGAGTTTCGTCTAAGTGAAGAGCATAAAAGGTACATTCATTTACCTGAGCCTGAGGGGCTTTTACCTGATACCTCTCATTCCACATCAGGTGTCAGCCTTAAAACTGCCCTAAACAAGTCCTGTTTTAGGGTTAAAGTGCTGCGGTGTGACCTCCTGGTCGGAGCCAGGGTCAGGGCCGCGGGGTGAAATCGTTTGGAGGAGCGTCTCTGGCAGCAGATTTCGGCCGATTAAGTGTCTGGCTGCCTGTAATCTAAGGAAGATGTTGGTGAATCATTGATAGTGGAGCAGTGAAAGGTAGACCGCAGCGCAAATGTCTGTGAGCAGGATCACAGCCCGAACACTGATGAACAGGAACGTCGACTTTGGCTTTCAGTGAAAAACAAAATGCCACTCCCTTCACTGGAAGTATATATGTTGGACATGTTTCTGTATTTTCTTACTTTTTCTGTAATGATTTTTACGGTCCATGTTAGCTTAGCTAAAATGTAACTCCAAACATCCCACCGACCCCAGCGTTAAAAAGACATGTCGACCAAACTGACAGGATCTGATGTCGAGACCAAAGACTAAAGTGAGGGACAGTAACAGTTCCAGGTACCGATGCAGGGCCTTCGTCAACTTGTTATTGAAGTGGATCCTCAGCCTGACATAAACAGCGACCTGTTGTGATGTGTTGACTCTGGACTGTGATGCCAGTAAACCCTGCAGACAGAACAGTGTCATCGCCTTTAAATACATGGTCACTGGCAATTTTGAAGCAACTGCTCTTTAGGTAAGAATACAAATCTCCACCACTGACCTCTGTGACCAACCCACAGACACTCACAGACCGGCTCCACCTTCAGACTCTGTATGTTTTACTGCTACTGTATATGGTCAAATAAAAACACCCGAATTTCTGAAAAAACCCACTCACTTGCAGCGAGTTTCACTGTAGCACCATCTACAGGGCTGCATCCACGTTTGGAAACCCAGACGTTCTGTGAGTGAGCGCTGCGATGCCACAAAGTCTGAATTGTTTATAACTTGTTTTTCTGCAGTTTATTTTCCCCCACGGTGCAGAACAACCAGCAGCTTCTGTGCACGAGATAAATACTTCAGTGGTAGACGACGACTGAAGGTCTGGAGGTCTGAGACTTCTTCTTCTTCTTCTTCTTTTTCTTTTTCTTCAGGCAGATGTCATCTCAACGCCGAGGAGGAAAAGTAAAGCAGCTGCTCGGCTGAACACTGATGACAGTCCTGTCTTTGGTGATGACTGACGGACGTCCAGGTGAAGGGCATGAGGTCAACTTCTCATCTCCCACTGCAGGAGCAAGAATGATTGGTCCTGATCAGAGGAAAAGAAAAAAAATACCTTGAGAGGATGAGGATATATAATCCAAAAATGAGGAAGGATAATCCCAAGACCAGCCGACTGCACAGTGAAGTGCAGTAAATAAAGTTTGTTTTCTTTCTTCTGTTTTCTCAGACTTTTTCAAACTGTCCCCTGCTCCTGGGCTGGTTGTGGAGACACAAAGGAGGAGCGCATGGAGTTGTCCCTGTGAGCAGCAGCAGCAGCAGGAGCAGCAGCAGCAGCAGCAGCAGTCTTTCTCATCTCTACTCTGTCCCCTTCTCCTCCTGCAGTGTTGTCTGCTCCTCCTCCTCAGAGTCACTCCTCTCTCCCCTCTCGGCTGCTGCTCTCGTCTTCAGTGATCAGTTTGTAAACAGATCCCTGCTCATGTGATTCGCTGCCGTCTGCACATCACAGCTCTGCTTTCAGCGCCTCCTTCGCTTCCCCTCCTCATACTGTCCGCCAGCCTGACCTCCCTTTGCCCCTCTGCCTGTTTTCCCACGGGCGTCACCCCCCTCAGATGTGATGACTATGCCTGTGGGAAAAATCCGATTAATTTCTTTCAGTAAATCAAATAATTCAGATTAATTAAACCCTCAGGATCCAGACAATAAACTCAGAACTTATATAATGATTTATGGAGGGAATCAATATAAACAGAGACAATAAAAAGGCAAATTCCCTTTAAATGTCAAATAAATCTTTGGTTGTTTTTTTTTCAGGTTTCTAAATCATGCAATATACTGACACCTAAAGGAAATACAGTTTACAACAACGTCTGCTCCTAATGATCATAATTACATCCAACATCTGAGTGAAGATGGCAGCAATGTACTGGGAAAAGAAACCATGAGAATTCTACCACAGTAATAATACCCTATAGACCACTAGAGGTGTATGGTGGTCTGATCATCTGCTGTGACTCCGCCCTCTGCTCGTAGTTTCTCCTTTTTTGTGATCCTTTGAGAGTGGAAATATTTACCAATGGTAAATAGAGCCGTTGCAGTAGAACAAAAACCAAATGAGGGGTCGGGGGCAGGATCTGGTCATTCTGTGTCACTTTTTTCTGCAGGCCTGAAATGGCAATGCAATTCTGTGTTATTTACTTTACAGAAAGATTTCAGCTTTCTGTTCTTTAAAAAAATGCTTAACATTAACATGGCTTTGTTCTATTGTGTGAGAAAATATGACTGACTTTGTGTGAGCGTGTATGTGTGTGAGCGTGTGTGTTTGTGAGAGAGCGTTGGGCGTCACTGTAGGATAATAACAGAAATGTTTTTTGTTTTGTTATTTTACCTTAGGCTCCAAACCGGCTCTGCAGCTAAAGTATAACAAACATCTGTCGACCTCGGTGTCCTGTCTGTTTACCCCTGAAAGGGTAGAAAAACAACAACAGACACACTTGTGTTTTTGCCCTACTAGAAAGTGTGTTCTTCTTCTTCTTCTGCAATTAGAAATACCAGCACGTTTAACAACTTTTAATTCTACTATAGGTGGGAAGGGTTTGTTTTTTCTTTTAAAAATCCCGTGTTTTGTAACAACAGGAAAATAATGAAACTATTACAAAATTTGGAAAAACTTTTTTTTTTGCAATCAGTTCAAAGTGTATTACACAATCATTTGTAGTCCTATTGCCCAACACAGTGTTGGTACCGAGAATAACTGTACAAAGACCAGGCAGAAGAGCAGAGGAAAGTGACATTTCCATTTGAATAATAATAATAATAATAATAATAATAATAAAAGTCACATGTGTATTAGCTGTGCGGAGGCAGGAAAATAAAATGAAAGTAAAAAGATAAGTTATAATAAAAAGCTGTCAAAGGATCACACATTTTGTAATCGGATTGCAGATGTTGAGTAATCAAGATTAATCAGGATAAATCCATTTATTTAATATAAAAAAAACAACTTGTATGTGTGGACGAATGAGTTTCACACATGTTTTATCTGTGACTAATCCAAATGCAAAGAAGAAAAGTCAAGAAAAATATACAAAAGTAAAACCTGAAATGTAGCTTCACAGAGTATCTTTTATTCTAGAATGTACCAGAAACTATATATTTGACTTCTGTGTAATTCTGTGTTTTGACGAGGCCGTAAACTTCGATGTGGTGGTGTGTTGTGTTGTTCCGAGCTAAGTCGCTGCAGCAGCGTAACACATACCAAACTGGAACATCTTATACTGTCAACACAAGGAAAAGGTTGAAACACATTCCAATTCCAACGGACCACAGTCAACACTGAATCAGCAGAACAAACGTTTTTTTGTATTGACTCGCTAGTCAAAACCTTCAGGGGAAGATTTAAACCTCGCCGTTGAAGGATTGAGGATTTTTTGTTGGATCTGCCTCCCAGGCCCAAACCTGCGCAGAACCAGGTTTTGCCCCCAGGACCGACTTTAAGACCCATTAGAGATGGCAGTGTCCTGTGATAACTCTGGTTACATTACATTATCTCTGTAAGTCAACGACAAGTCAAGTGTATTTTATTTGTCACAAAACACATTTGTTTCAATGGATTTTAAAGTTTTCATTTGTTATATAATAATATAAAATAATGTATAAATGTATATAATACATAAAGAAACATGGAAACATTAAAGTGGAAAATTGAGGAATGTTTATTCAGTTGTTAATACGTGGTTTAAATACAAAGTAAAGCGGGATAACGTTAGCTAGCTTTAAAGATTCCAAAATGATGTAAATAACTGCAAATAACACGAACATCACTGTTGCGCTAGCTTCAGCCCATTTTTGGTATAAATCAATAAATGTCCTCTCTCATGTGAGGGTTAAACAAACACGGGAACCGTTGAAAAGACGTCGACAGATCAGGATTCGACACAGTTTTTTAGGCCCAGATCACCAGGACGGGAAGATGGCGGACATTAAAATGATTTTTATTGCTGGACTGGCCCTCGTTCTATCAGGTATGTGAACGTAAAATGGAAGTTTATTAAATTTATTTATTTATATTTGAGGGGAAACTTCTGACGACAGTTGTGCTATGTCTGCTGCCCTGCTCTGTGCTTGTCAGGCGTAGCAGAGTCGGCCTTCATGGGCAAGAGCCACAGCGGTGGAAAGGACGACCCTGTGCTGCAATATGTGGTCAACAACTCACTGAGGGAGCACCCGGTCCTCACCAAACTCAAACTGGTAAGTTAACCACAAGTGTATGTGGTTACTTTTACCGGAATGAAACCAAACACTCGGTCAGACAACTTCCCGCCCACCGGACAACCCACAGACAGATCTTGTAACTTACCCTGATATTCGTGAAATATGTATCGTATGTTTTCAGCTCTTTGACAGACGTTTTTTTTTCTTCTTCTTCAGTAAAGCGATAATTTTCTGTGTTCTTTAACAGAGATTTAAAAGTGATACAAAGACAAAAAAGTGTGATGTCATAATCCTTTACCTACATGGTTGTATTTGCAAAAAATTAACAGCGAACACAATTTTTTTTTTAAGGAAACGGTGTAGTTGTTTTATCAACCACTAGAGGGTAGCAGAATACTATCAAACACTGATTCTCGATTGTTCTGTCAGATTGTGGTTTGTCTGGTAAAACAATACGAAGACTGTAAGAACTGTATTTATATTTATATATTTATATTTTTTATATATTTTTTGTGCGTTTATTTGGTTCTTTTGTTTGTTTGTTTGTTTGTTTTTTAGAGAACACTTGAAGACCCCTGGAGTATTATGTTAGTGGCCGTTGAACAAGCGCAGTTTATGGCAAACCTCATTAAACTCATCAATGCGACCAAAGCCTTAGAGATAGGTGAGTAATCGTCAGGTCAAAACACATAAACACAGCAGAAATAGTTTGACATGTAAATTTAAGTGCAAAATAAACCACAGTTTAACTTAACTTTTTATTAAATATACTGGTTGAGCAGAAGTTAAGCAATGTATAGTAATTAGCAGCTAACAGCTAGCTCGTTCAATAGCTGCACTGTGAATTAAATAAAAAAATAATCACAGCCAGGATGAATTCAGTTTGTTCACAAACATTTATATAAAACATGCAATCACCCTGGGGATCAATGGAAAGACACTGAAGTGCCACACGTGGCTTGGGAGCCACAGGTTGAAGACCCTGTTGAAGACATTACAACAAGGTCCAACTTGTGAAATGTATTTCTGTGCTGCTTGAGTTGACACTGTGTTTATTTTACAGGAATGTACACAGGTTACAACGCCCTCAGCATGGCGCTGGCCATGCCTGAGGATGGACGCGTGGTCGCCTGTGAAATCCAGGAAACCTACATCAACATCGGAAAACCTTTTTTTAAAGAGGTAAAAAATATATATATATACAGTATATATAAATAACTTAGAATGACTTCCTTTTTCATGTATTAATTGCAAAATCTGATCGTTACAAAATGCTGCAGACTTGGTGGTAAAAAAAAACTGGGGAACCAGAAAAAAACCGATTTTACGTAAATAACTTAATGACTTCCCTACAGGCTGGAGTTGAACACAAGATTGATGTTCGATATGAAATAGCGTTAAAAACATTGGGTAAATATTTTTGAAAAACTTTTATTTTTTTAAATATTTAAAAAAAACTTTTTTACACTTGCATTTAATACTGTTTTTTCTTTTTTTTTAGATGAACTAATTACAAATGGTGAGGCTGGAACTTTCGACTTTGTGTTCATCGATGCTGACAAATTCAACTACGACAATTACTATGAGAAATCCCTGCAGCTCATTCGGAGGGGCGGCATCATCGCAATCGACAACGTGAGTACCTGTCACCTGACCTTCTGTGGCGTTTACGGCTGCTAAGGTCACACTGGTACCAACCATATGGATGTGTTTAGGTGCTGTGGAGCGGAAAGGTGGTGAATCCTGCTCCCGACGACATCACCTCCCAGACGCTGGACGCTCTCAACAAGAAACTGCACAAAGATGAGAGAATTGACCTGAGCATGATCATCATAGGAGACGGACTGACCATTGCCATCAAACGCTGAAAATGACTCTCAAAACTCATCATCCTCATTGGTGCAAAGGTTTTGGTAATAAACAGATAATCTTCACTGGGTTTCCTCACTGCTTACTTACGTATATTTTTTGCAACCCCATTCGAGCTCCAGTTGACCCCACATGGGGTTGCAACCCCAAGGTTGAGAAACACCGGCTTACAATTTTCTTCCGATTATTTATTGTCAGACTTTTGGTAGAACAACCACTGTAAGAAGAGCAATAACCAAATTGTTTGTTAAACTTTTGTGCAGCAGCCACCCATTCCCTTTGATTGTTTTTTTTTTTTTTTTAAATACCTGAGCAGTACTTCTCCTAAATAACATCTGATAAATCAATAAAAACAAAAACACAACAGCAAGTACACGTGTGATGTTCAATGACTTTATTGAAAACTTACACACACACAAGAACCTCCAGGACTTCCCAGGAACCATGTTCCAGGAGCGCTCACGTGCGACAAAGTCACGTCTTTTGAACAAGGATTGTTTGGCATTACTGTGAACATTTCCGTGCCCTGATTCACCTCCTAGCATAAGCATCAACAACCACTAAATCTGCATGATCAGCCAAGTGTACAGGATTCTTTACAAAGTCAATTTTTAAGTAACCAGCTGTGACTCCCTAGTTTGCGGTCAGGTGGGGGCAACACAAGACAAATTACAGAGGTACAGCGTTTCCTTTAGCGCATGGACAAGAAAGGGTGGATCAATTTATTTATTTCTTTTTTAAATAAAAGCGTAAAAAGCCTAGTGTGATTGACAAGGTTTGCAAACGACAAAGGAATATCAGAGAGTAGTGTCTGTAACGATGGGAGCGGAGGTTCCCCGCTGCTCGCCACGCAAATTCATTAACTGGTGTTTGCACAAAAACATGACAAGTGGAGTGTCTGGTATTAGATCACAGAAAAGAAAAAAAAAACAAAGTCAGAGTGATGAGAGACTGTACTGAAACACAGACAACAGCGCCACCAACTGTCGGAGCAGACGCAGCTACGCAGTGAAAAGCAACCCAGGTGAAAGATCCAAAGCACCAGTGTGATGTGGTACTTCGATTGCAGCCTTTGAATCCATATCCCAAAGATCTCCCTCTGCTGGTTGGAGTTGGACACACACTTTTTAAGGCCAGATTCTTCTGATATTCCCTAGTCCTTCTGCAGTCGGGGTTTGGGGGGGGCGATTTTAGGCTTCCAGTTCCAAGCCCAGACCCAGCTTGTGGCCTCCTGCGTTGATGTTCTTTCCGTCAATCAAACCAGACAGAGTGAGTTTGATACCTGCACAGGGACAAAGGGAACATCGATGTCATGGCTATTGCAAAGACTCGCAAAGAATTTTCCCGATTGTGGGACGTTTAATGGGCTCCATTTTCAATTTTGTTTTTTTTTAATTCACAAATATTATTGGCTGTTTGTGTCTGTGTTTAAATTCTTACCTGGTCTAAGAGTCTGGGTGTAACCAATACCAACAAGGCTATTGTTGTTCACTTTAGCCTAAAGAAAAGAAAAACAACAAAGTGAATTAGGGTGAAAAAAAGAAAAAAAAAAAATCTTAAAAACATTAAAGTTTTCCTTATAACTGTTCAGTCCTGTGCTGCCCTACTTACACTGATGGAAGCTTCCTTGTCCAGCTGATATTTAGCTGCAATACCGAAGCGAGTGCTGTTGCTGCCAGCGGTCCAGGCCAGGTTGACGGCAGTCTCCAGTTTGTCGCTCACCTTCTGGTAGATGGAGCCTCCAAACTCTGCTCCGTCATTACTTTAAAAAAGAAGGAAAATAAGGTCACATGACTGATCTGAGAAACTGTTTCCCTTTGAATACCAACATAAATACAGACAAGTCAATAGACACAAAAAAGTTGGAAAAAAAAAAAAGGAAATGTTTTTGCTCACTCACACGTTGGTATGAAGCTGGAAGTCTCCGGTCTTGTAACCGATGGCGAAGTTGTTCTGCGTCATCTTGGACTTGGCGGTGTCGAAGCTCATCTGGTAACCGGCGAGCCAGCCCTCGTAGCCCACGACGGCAGCTCCGTGGATGGTGGGACCGGCGAAGTCAAAGTCGACGTCACAGCCCAGGTTGACGTACTCACGCTTGTAGGCGGTCTTAACTTTGCCGCTCTTCTTGCTGTTCATGATAAACATTTGTATTTTATTTTTATTATCTAAATGGATTTACACACGACAACAAGGAGTTGCATTTGTACTTCATGTACAAAGACTTGAGTGGATTTTCTACTGAAACAAAGTGTACGCTAAAACCCAGAAACTGGCGAATGCACACATGAAAAATAAAATAAAATTTTTTATCAAATGTATATGTATTTATATATATATTTAAATTAGCTCTGTTCAACTTGTGTACAAAAACAACATGTTGCTTTGTTCAGTCAAATGATCTTCACTTACCCAGTGTTTGGTGAGAAAGTTGTGTCAAAAGTCAACTTCAATCCTTTTGCAATCTGTTTAAAAGAAAAAAGGAAATAAATGGGGTCAGGGGTTAAGCGAAGAAATGGATGCCATCGGCTGATGTCAGCATGAAACCCTGAAGCCACTTTGGTGACGGCGCTGATCCTCACCTGATCTTCAATTGTGATTTCTGTTCCCAAGGTGTTGTCGGTGTTCCATTTCTCAGTGAAGGTCAGCCCATATTCTGACCTCTTGTACTTAGTTTCAAGGCTACCTACGACTTTGCTGGTGTCAGTGTTGGATGAGCCGGATGTTTTGAATTCCTGTAGAAGACATTTTATTATCAACTTCAAATTTGTGTTAAACATGTACAAACTGACTGGACAACATTTGTTTTGAATTAAAGCCTTTGTCTGTCAGCTGTGTCCAAGTTGACATTTTCATTTATTAACTCAGTTCAAGCTAGACTGTGCCTAAAGTAACTAAGAAGCAGCTTCTTTTGATTTAATGTCCAAATAACATCAGTGGAACTTAATGTTAACATCTATTTTTATTTCTGAATAAAATAAAAATGTCTTACCACTCCACTAGCAGACTTTGTTTTGACATCAAGCTTCACCAGACCAAAACCTGCAGAGTGCAAACATTCGCTGGTCTATATTTACCAGTTTGAAATGAGAATTTTGAAATCAGAGACACACAAAGAAAAACTCATCTTACTGTAGCCTTTGTTGAAGATGTCCTTGGCAGATTTGCCCAGGTCAGCGTATGAAGGAGGCACAGCCATTATTTCTATAAAATAATTTAAAAAAAAGTTAATTTAATTTGGATGGCAGCACATGTATTTCAGTGCTAATGCTATTTAGCTTTCGACCAATAACAAAGGTCAGCTGTTAAACACAAACCAATTAAAAGTGGATCCATGACCTACAGGAATCCAATTAACCACCGAGTCTTTTTTTTTTCTTTCTGAAATGACGGAATGTATGAAGAATAAAAACCTATTGTCCCAATGTTAGCGTTGGCATAATTATGAAGTGCGAGTGCAGCAGGTGGACTGGACACACAGGTCATGTACATTAATAGCCAAGGACAAGCAGCAAGTGAGACAGGGGGATATTTTGACCCAGTGTTATGTGCTCAGTTGCATTGAAGGACATAATTGTCATGGTTTTTTTTTTTTCTCCAAAATTCAACATGTGCTTTTCATAAATAAATTATTGACAGTAACCAGGGATGACATAACAAAAAGGCGAAGAACCACCATCTTAGTTTGCTCATTCATTCAGATGTGCATTTGTTAATATTGACCAATTGTACCTGTGCAACAGTTGATTAGTTCAGTGGTTGTAGTATTATACACAACTATACAGTCTTAAAACAACCGCGGTCTAATAGAACGTGTACCTGACCAGTCACCATTCAAAATCATTTAGGACAAAATAACTCAACTGTAACCATAAAAATCAACAACCGATATTGCTGTTATTGTTGTTGTCGTTATATTAACCACTGTAAAACAAATTTCAAAACGACTAATTAATTTAAAATGTATCAAACGGTCATCGTTGAGAGAACTGAACCATTTACTCATTTCATTTCACCACGAGTGATAAAACATAAAGTGCAAGTGGACCAAAAAAAAAAAAACAGGACCAATGTCTTGACAGTTGCTGGACAAGGTGACAGACCGAGCTCATGTGTGTCAGGAGCCATTTTGCTGTAAAGTGTGTGTGCGCGTGTGTGTGTCATATCCAGCTTTTCTTTATTAAAAACGCTTTTACGCGAGAGCTGACTGACTGAGAGGGCGTGGTGGTAAAGCACATGTAGACGCCGATTACCGCGATCAGTTAATTTCATTGAGTACTAGCATTCACAGCTTACAGTTGCTAACTAGGCCGTATGGAGGATGACAGAACACACAGTATGAATAATTAATACGACTTGAACTTTAACATTGCTAAGTTTTTAGGTGTCAACCAAGCGTCACATTTTTAGAGCTAATTGAAAAAAAAGCACAGTAATATAAACGCTACCTACCATTGCTGTCACCTGACATGTGTCAGACGCAGCGTGCGACTAGCCGGGCAGCTAAGCTAACTAGCCTGGAAATAACCGGCAAAAGTAAAATGACACGTTTTACCAAATTTATGTTCTAATTTTAAGGACAACGCAGTCCAACAAAACAAGCGTATTTCGTACCAGGAGTAGATGAGGGTAGTGTTGAACTTGAGAGTTTTCTTAGGATGTTCTTAACACCGCACAGCTAGAGCAGGCGTCACCGGTTGGAGGGCGAGCTGAAGGAGACTGCAGCGACACCAGAACCAGACCTATCACAACCTGGGCTCAGGACCCGGAAGGTCCACTTAGATGCCTGAGCAAAATTAACTTCCTTTAAAAAAAAAATTAAAAAAAAATAATATTACGCAATAAACGAGCTTGAGTAGTGTTTCTTCATTAAAAAAAAAGAAGAAGAAGAACTAATTCACGTGTTTTAAAACTATTTCACAAATATAGTCGGATGAATGAAGTCACAAAGGGCAGTAGATAGAAGTGATGATGGAAGTACGGTATAGTGCAAGAAGAAGCCACTAATGGCTATTAAACTAAAACAAAATGTATGGGTATTTGAATAATGTAGTATGTAGCATAGTATGGGATAGGCTTTCAACAATTGACCTTGAAAGACACTTAAAATAAAATAAATATTTAAATGTAACATTATTATTATATATCACAACTAACTAATGGAAGATAATGAACTTTTATATATATATATTTATGTAGCTATGCGTGTTATTTAAAACACAATTAAATATATATTGAAAAATACCTGCCTCATAAAGTAATACTGGTTGGTAACATACAGTACTACAAGATTTACATTAAAAAGCAAACACACATTATGGCTCTGTATATTAAGTAACATTAAAACCTCCCATTGAACCTAGAGAATTGAAAAAATGTTGCAAAAAAGGCACATACATATTGTTAAACAACTGGTGGACAATGTTGCTTTATTTTATGCAGTTATTTGTACAACAAATAAATACTAAATACAAGGAATAAAAAAAATGTAAGCAGCCAAAGCCAAGAATTACAACAAACAATATTATTAAATTAATATTTACTGGCTAATTATTTTCAAAGTATTGAATATGAATATTTCACCACTCCGTTACAGGAGCAGACATAGAGAGAAATAAGAATTACACACTTTGACTCACACCTGTGGTAAACTTTGAAACAATAAATACAGATAAAACTTAGGAAGATGTTTTATATTCTTTCAATGTACTGTAGGTAACGGTATCATTGGACAATTCAACCTGAAACACAAAAAATAAAAATGAGAGTTACTGACTCACATTTAAATGTCAGCCAAAATTACTCAAATTTGCTTCTGATGCAATAGCTTCTATAATTTCATTCTTTTAATCTATTAAATTACTTTCAATATTTATTTTTCTTATCTTTAAATTTTTGTTTATTGGCAAATCACAGAAAAGAACGGATATAATAAAGAAAATTAATTTACCTCTTTTGCTTTTTGTGGCTTTTTGATGACAACGGAACTGTACGTCACATCCTGACTGCTTTCAGAGGGCCTCTGTGAGAGTGAAGGACATCAGACACATAAGAAAACATTGTCTGAAGCAGATTGAAATTAATGTGTGTTATTCAGAACCGCAGATACCTGCTTCGACTTTTCAAATCTAACACCAACATTACAGTATGTTGTCTTTTCACTCTGTGGAGGAAAAAAAAAACATGTTGTCATTGAGAGGATGTTGACTTAAATGAAGAAAAAAAGTCACCAACATTTAATGTTTTGTGGCCTGTAGGGGTCTCTAGTTTAGTACACAGGACATAACATTTTTAGCAACATACACCAAATTTCCCAAAAAGTATATGTCAAGAAATGTTATAATCTTCCAGTCAAAATTTACTCTCAATTTACTAAAATCTCGGCCTGTTTAGTTGAAGACAACGCTGATATACTTGCAGGAATTGAAGAAAGACAAAAAGATCTTCTCTTTTTTTTCAGTTTTCATACCCATCTGCTGTCACCTAGTGGATGACTATTTAATTGTTCCGCCTGTCATGCATTGACCAAAAAAGATAAATTGACTTCTTTGCCATATCTCACCTGTGCCATGGCTGATGTTTGGGGATTGCTTGAGCCTGTATAGTGTACAGTGACAAAATAAAGTTGACTAACTGATCATATGTCAATCTTAAACAGTTTGAGAATGAAGTGACACTGACTGTGTTTCTTCAACATGAACCAGACGATCACAGCAACGATGACAGCAAAGACCAGCAACCCCAGAGGGATGAGGAGGGTCACCAAGTACCAGGAGGAGCTACGGCAGGTGAGGGAGAAGGAAAGGAAAGGAAAAGGTTTAAAAAAAAAAAAAAACTCCTCCTAGTATATTATTTTCTTAGAACTTCAGTGTTCATATATTCAAAAACACACCTTGAAATCTTCCCTGACTCAATAGTTGTCGTCGGTGATAAACATGTGGCTACAGGTTTAAAAACAGGACAGAGTTTATTTTGAATTATAATACAAAAAAAAAAAATCAAATTGTACCATTATGGAATACACCTAATAATTCAAGTGTAATATGTGTGATGTGTTAGTGTGGACTTACTGGTGATGGGTCTGTCAGTGACATTGACATACACTGGCATCTGTAGGTCTCCTTTGAAACACAAATACCAGCCGCTGCTCTGTATTGTCACGTTGTACAGAGTAGCGGTGAAAACACGAGGGACTGACGAGTTCACGCTCACACGTCTTCCATCTATGGTTCCCCACCCGTCTTTGACGCACGTCCCTCCTAACTTGCACCACCCCACCTCACCAGAGGAGGTGCTGTGGTAACACCTGATGGTTATATCACCCCCAAGAAACCCTTGAACCTCCTGATCGTCCACGTAAAGAGCAGGTGTACCTTCAAAGAAAAAGGAAGGTCAGTTTAAAAAAAAAAGAAGACATATTTGTAGATAGATTATTTGTCATTGTGACACATCACCAAATGTGATGGGTCCATTTTTACCCATCACCAAAGTAAGGAGGGGGCAGCTCAAGCGCCCAGGGAACCACTTCCCTGTTTCAATATATTCTGAAGGATAAACTCTGGGCTCTTACCGTCAGTGACAGACAGGTGGAAGTATGCTCCATCATCAGTACCGCTTTTCTCCACAATACACCAGTAATCCGTGTCGTGTTTTGTCACATCTCCGATAGTCATATTGAAAACTCTCTGTGATTTGTCATCAAAGATGGAAAACTTTCCTGACTGATCAGGTCTGTTTGTTTTGACTACATCCGTGCAGGAGGACCACTGGAAACCTCGGCACAAGTATTTCACATGGTTTCTGTACTCCTCTCTGTACACACACGGGATCGTTATGGAACTTCCAACTTTTACAGACACTTGAGTGACTTTACTGCTGGTGTAACTTCCTACAAGACAGAGACACAGGATGTGTTATTAGAAATGACACACAACTGCAAGAAGAACGTGATGTCATAATCTTCCCCCCACTGTGGTCTATGGTGAATGCTGAATTGGACAATGAATTCCAATATATATATATATATATATATATTCCCTTAGGGGAAAAAAGAAAAAAAAGGGCAACTAGCTTTCTTATAAAGGCAACATGTTTAATCATTATTAATCGAAAGGAGCTATATAAAGGAATGACACGCTCTTGTGTACCACTAGAGGGAGCCAAAGAATCCCACATAGCACATGTACTTGCGCACCTGAGCCGCAACAAACCAAAAAAGGCTAATTGGAAGGTTTTAGAATTTCAGTACTCAATGCTTTCACGATAATGAGACATTAAAAAAAAAGTTTATTCACTTCTAAGTTCTAATTTATAAGTTCTACAAGTCCAAAGAACTTTTTTTCCTGCCATAAAAAAGATTATTGTGTAAATCAACCATCGTGACCTGACACAAAAAATGTCTTCATATGGTTGAGCAAACTTTGGGATTCCTTTTACAAACATATACACATTTATTAAAATATAAACACACATGTATATAGAAATATATATATACATGTATATATATATATATACACATCAGACCTCAGAGATACCTCAGATCCAATAAAAACTTTTTTATTATGTGTTGTCCAGATAAACAGGCTAACGGACTGAAAACAGGACACAAAAGACACAAAAAGGTCTCTCTATAAAGTGACACCAACCTGTGATTATGGCGATGAGGAGGAGAACGCTGTGGTCAAGAGCCATGATGACCTCGATAAAACATTGACTGGAACTGGTTGAATTATCCCTGAGGTTTTTTTTTTACTTCCTACTTTCTCTCAGGTCTTATACAAATAACTCTCAGAGCCTTCCTCCTAGATGAGGAAGTTACAAGACAAACCAAAAATAAAGTGAATGGTACAGCCCAGCGCTGCACGGATGAAATGTGCTTTACCCATCACCACAGTCAGCAGGGGGCAGCTCAAGAACCTGGGGAGCAGCATGTGTGTGTGTGTGCCATGCTCAGTGGCAATCGGGCAGCTTGGCCTCAAACCTGAAACCTTCCGGACCCAAATCTCCATCCTTAACCACCAATAATTGTATGATGAGGCAACTTTTGCACAGTTAATAAGAGCTTCTGAGTTCTGGTTTTGCAAGACAACATTTCTACCACAGAACCAGAACTCTCCACAAAAATATGGATTTTCAATTTAAAAAAAGAAATCATTTTATTGTTTCCTAATACAAATGCTGTTATCAATATCAATCTTTGATCAGGAAATGAGTTTTGAAGTACAGTATGTCGATCTGCTCTACAGATAAAAGGGCGTTTTCTTCAACACGTCATTGGTTCTTCTTAAAAAAGGCGTCCAAGGTGCCGTGGCCCCCGCCCTGAGAGCGATGTCTTTTGGACTGAGGTCCAGACTGAAGTCTGCTTTTAGTTTTGCCACGCGCGGAATGTCCCGCCACTCCGAGAGGGGAGGCAGTGGAAGAGGAGGACGAGGAGGTGGAAGGAGCTGAGGAAGAGAGGGAGTTCTGAAGGTCCAGGGCGAAGTGATAGTCATTGTGTTCAGGCATTTCCCAGACGGACACGTCCTGACCACAGCGCTCGCAGGTGATGATGTCTTCTCTGGCCACGCTGGAGGGCAGCTGATGGTTTTCCTCCGAGCCAATGAGCACTTCCTGTCTGTTGTTGTCCTGCTCTGCTGATTGGCCGTCGTCTTCCACACTGACGGCCACAGATTCATGTCCTGCTGCGGCTGAAGCCTGTGGATGTCTCTCATGACTCTGGAAAACTGAAGTGATGTCGGACCGAGGGCTGGTTGAGACGTTTTCGGCAGGTGTCACTTCTCCTCCCTCAGTCTCAAACGACCTGTGAGAGGCAGGAGAACGCGTGGGAGTCTCCGAGGACAGGAGGTCCTTATCGTCCTCTTCTTTTGCCTCCTTCACTCTTTGTTTCTCTGCTGCTTTCTGGAAGAAGGACTGAATGGCACCAGACTGTTTGCTTGTGGCGTCCTTTTTTACTTTAGAGGACGCCTGGTTGGACGACCGAGTGGCGGCTGGAAGGCTCTGAGTCGAACTGACGTCACTGCACAGGAAACCGCTGATTCCCCCTGTTGATGGAGTGTCGGTGAATTTGCTGGCAGAAAGGTAGAGCAGGGTGAGAGGTGGAGTCCTGAGGAGACGGTAGAAAACAACGGGCTGTGATCATTTGTTGCCTTATTTTCCCGATCAACCGTCAACCAAACAAGAACCTGAGGTTTCTAAACTGCTCTCAAAAGTCAGAGAAAGTCCTGTTGTAAAATAACTTCCTTTCTCATCTCAGTTACATAAAAATAGTCAGTGACTTTCACAGGAGTCGTTTCAACGATCAACGCCATCAACCTACCACGTCGCCTGGTGACTTCCTGCTGTGTTGAGGCTTTTAATAATGGCAAAGCTGTCGCTGCATATTCTGTCGGCTTCATATCTGGATAAAGCACAACAGCGGGAGAAGCTGTTCGGCCTCTTATCTCCCAGCTGACGCACACCAACAGTCAGGAGCTTGGCCACCCTGCCGTTCTGAGATATGAAGAAAATAGTAAAAAAAAAAGAAATAAGAAAAAAAAAAGAGGAAATTTCTGCTGTACAGATATAATTTTTTTTTATTTTTTTGTACCACGTCTTTGTCTTTGGTCAGACGTTCCTCCAGCTCTAGAGCCAACTGATGAAGCCAGTACTGGACCTGGAAGGAGACGGTTGATTAAGTCACCAAATAAAAGCATTAAATTATTTATCAAATACTTATTTCTTCACCTTTTTAAATTGTTTTGTTTAATTCATTGAATCACCGGACTAATTGCTAAATTGTAAGAATCAATAGTATTTTAAAATCAATCTGATAAATCACATGGTAGCTGTGGATTTGTCAACAACAATCTGGACAATTCCAGATCATTTGTGACTAATCCATCAGCTATTACTGTGCATTACACATTTTTTTCTGCTTATTTCTTATCAAATAATCAACCTGATAAATGTGTTTATTCCGACAGCCTAAATATACAGTTCATTTCAGCCAAATATATTTTGTCAAAATGTCAAAAAGCTAGATTATACCTGTTCTTTGGTGGCCAGCGAAGTTTTTCCAGGGAAGTTTTTACTGCAGCCAATGGACTTAGGAAGTTGTCTGGGCTTCACTGCTTCAAACTCGATCCCACGGCAAAGGTCAAACAGCCACGGGCTGAAAACAAAAAAACAAAACAAAAAACAAGATATTTTTCTCATAGATGCAAGGTGTGACCATCACATCACACTTGGTGTGAAGTTTTGAGCTGCTGTGTCTGGATGTAAAAGGATTGACCTTGACTCATTAAAAAAAAGCTTGTTTTACCCTGTTTTGTCTCCAAAGTGCTGCTCCAGCACAGCCTTAGAAAACTGAGTTAGATCCCCCATGTTCTCCACTCCAAGAGCTTCTGTGATGGAAGCTCCCAGTTTACCACCAAGGTTACGGCTGCATGGATAACAGATGAATAACATGAATATACATATACATATATATATANNNTATATATATATATATATATATAAAAAACCAGCCTATCCTGTCAAGTGCTAAGCCGTAGAAAAGTCAAAAGTCAACTCACATCTTGCTGATGGGAAGTGAACTGAAAAGTTCTGGAACAGAGTCCAAAGGAAGAACAGTTTGTCGATTTGGTTTGTTCAGCCCACAGGCCAGTTTGGCCAGAACCTTAAAAAAAAGTTATGAAGTTATTATCAGTATGAAAACAACGTATGTATGAAGTCATATCCAGAGGATGTTTTTTTTTTGCCTACCTTGTTGTGTGAAATTCCAGCTGAGCAGCGAAAACTTGTGTCTTTCTCTACAGCCGCTCTCATCTCCTCGACAATGAGCGCCCCCACTGTCAGCTGCAGGTCAGGAGAGATCTTATCACCAGATGAATTATGGGGTAATGACGTCAGCCACTCCTGAAGACCTCTGGATCTGTGCTCCTCTGAGGACAAATGTTTGAGAGCTTCAGTTATAAGGAAAGTATGAAAATGATACACTCGTTTATAGACACGGTTGATAAGAGTCTCCCTCTAGTGGCCAACTGCGATTTCTCCGTGAATTTAAATAGTGAAATATTTTTTGCTCTTTGTTGTTCACAGGTAAGTTTGGGTTACACTTTGGGTTTGGTAACGTTTGGTCTACCTTTATCCAGAACAGAACCCTCAGCAGATGTTTCCAGTTCAGTGGAACTTCGAGGGTAACCCTGAATGTAGGTCGTCTTCAGGAGTTTGGGGTCGATCTGTCCACCGGCCATAGTTTTCAGACGTTGCTGTACGGCAGAAGTCAGATCCATGTATGCCTCGTCGATGCTGGCTCTCTCAATCACAGCAAAGCGGGACATCACGTGAATCACCTCCACACTGGCATCCCTGTAACTACAATGGTGGGACAGAGGCTGTCATTGTGTGCTGGATAAAAAGGGTGTGAATGTTGATAAAAGTGTGAGCACTTACTGTGTGAGGTCTGCCTTGCCATGGGACTCACGCACTCGTGCCACCTGGAGATCTGGACACAGCGTCTTTGCATCATCTACCCACATATTCCTGCCGACGCCATGGGCCCTGGCCTCATAGCTCACAGCTATGATACTAGCAAGTGATGAAAGAAATCAAATGACATCTACAGGTACACATGTTCTCATTGGTTTATATTGAATTGATGACATCATCAATGATAATGGCATGAGGAAAGGTCTTAAAATTAAAAAAGAAAATACCTCGAGCAATAACTGTAAGGGCTTAAACTTCATAAACCACATTGTCATTCTTTTTGATTTACATCATAAATATTATGTAAAAGAAAAAAACCCGCTTCCGCTGCTCTGTCTGTGGGCTCCTGTGAAGCCGTGTAAGTATTTAATCATATATTTATACAATTTTATGTTATTTTAAATAATCTACTTGGTAAAACAAGAGCTTTTATTCCGATACTTTTATTTAAGCCGAACTACCATACCTATATGAAACAGCGTAAACACTTCCGGTTCACTTCCTTAGGCTTCATTTAGCAACTGTAGCTTCCAAACTGATTTCACTGTCAATTTCTATCATTTCAGTTAAGTTAATGTACCCTATACTAAGTAATGTACCAATTTAAAGGTTTTTTTTTTTTTTTTGCGTCACAAACTCACCCGCCTCCTTTCCACGTCTTATACTGCGCCACAACACACGGTTTATTCTTCAGCTCTGGATTCAGCCTCTGCTCCACTTGAACGTAAAAACAGTCCATGTCCACCAGCGCCACTACTCTCTCTTTCCCATAATCCATCGCTCCACGTGCGAAGCGGGAACGTGAATCCGTCAGTTACTGACAGTGAAACGTTTAAAACGATAATATGCAAATTGTCACATTAAGCAGCCACAGCTACTAAAGCTGGATTTAAACAGGCGCCGAAATGTACGTCACAACCGTTACGTCACACCATTTCCGACATGTTCTTCTTCGTTGTTTATGTACGAGGAAAATTATATACTGACACCAACAGGTAGACAGGACCCACTTCTATGTAATATTAAATATAGAAACGATATTACAATAAATCCATACAATTTTATATTTAATTATAATTTATAACTTGAAATATGTGACATTGAATGTTTGAATCTGAGCCGAGTGATGCTGACTGAAAACGGATAAGAATAAAGACAAAACGAGCCTCCGCTAATGCAACAAAGGTTTATTCATGTACATCAGAACACGCAAATTGGATCTGTACATAAATATTGCATCCCACCCCTAGAAAAAAACCAAAGTATATATATATACAGTATACATACATATACTGTATATACAGTATATATATAGATAGATATTTTAAAAGCAAACATAGCTTAAATACAAACAAAAAGGTAAAGCTGTGGTTTGTATAGTTTTGTGATTGAGAAAACCGTGGAGGTGTTCAAGTGAACTGTAAAACTATGAGAAATTCGACAAAATACTTCTCAATAAAACAACTTTAAACACCTGGCTGAACTTTTCAAGGCTAGAAGAAAAAAAAAAGAAAAAAAAAGGTTTTGGTTGAAATGCTGTGAATATTATCATTTCAAGTGGAAGCAGAATTTGCATACAAATAATATAAAAAGCAATCAGAACGAAAGCACACATATCTCAGTTGTCCTCGATTATTCCTGTCATTGAGAAACAACATAAAATAATCACAACAGCATGCACACACCAGGAGGCCAACAGCCTCCCAACAACAACATGAAATCAACAGTCACTGTTAAAGACAACTTTTAGACAAACACTGTCTCTAGTGGTAGCACCAGCTTCAGTAGATGTTGTAAAACTTTGAAAGGCTACTGATCTCTGTAACCCCTTCAGGCACTGTGGAAAAAAAAATCCCTTGAAAGTTGGCGTACATCAGTAACTTAATGAAAGAGACATTAGTAAGATCGTATTTACTGTCTCTCAAAGCTGCAATAGTACCGTAGACTTTATACAAAAAGTGTGAGGTTCGTAATTTTACTTACAATGTGTCAGTTGTTTGGCAGGAAGTTTAGTGATGTCATATAGGACCCGGCTCCTGTAATGGCTGTTAACCACACAGATTCCAAAATGTGGAGGTTTTTTTTAAACCAATAATTTATTCCATAATATTTTATTTAATAATTCTAAAATCTATTTATTCTTAAACCAGACGACAGCCTCCACTCTGAAACTGGTCCGTGACACAGCCAGTACATACCAGTTCAAACACGATACAAGCACCTTTGTGAAGGAAAAACACCACCTGATCAGCAACACTCCAATCAGCAGGAGCCCTTCACCAACAGTGGAATGCTATCTAGTGCTCAATCGACATTGACCTGAGTAACTAAAGCACCTAGAAAAGGACAGGCCACGACACCGTATCTACCTCTCTGTGCCGTCCTGAGGCATTCTCTGTGAAGATATAAAACACGTGAAACAGGTGAATGTGAAATTTCGTGGCAGGATCAAACACACTATAAAACACGTTTCTCACACAACAAAGACGGTGATTACCAAGGTGAACGTGAAATTTCGTGGCAGGATCAAACACAAACTGGATCAGCTCTCACTCAGCAGAACCTCACAGGGATTTTCCCTTTACCTCAATGCTAAAGTGCCAGTTTGTGTCAGCTGGAAGTGGTACAGTGAGCTCGAAACGACTCATCACAAACACCGGATGCTGCTCTGCCGCAAACTCTGCTCATGAATGATCCTGGATTTGTAAGATTTGTAAACGGCCAATCAAATCACATTTTGCAAATATCCTGATTACATGTGGCAGTCAATGAATAATTCTTGGGCAGTACACTGTCCAACCAGTAGCTTGTGTTTTTGTCTTTTTTATATTTCAACGTTAGTTAAAAACAATATCCAATTTTCCCTCAGATAAGTTACCACATGAACCAGCAGAGGGCACTCTGAGCACAGCTCAACAAAAGATTAAGACACACCAGAGGCTTTAGGAGGCACTACAATGGTAACACAAACAGGCTGCTGCAGTGCACGAGAAATGGTGACACTAGGATTACAAATTACCTACACCTATTAAGGTTAGTGTGTAGATTTTAGCGGCCTCTAGTGGGGAGAATGGAGACAGGACCTGGGCCTGAAACTTTATTTTTAAAAATCTTATTAAAGTACATTAAAATATCAGTTGAAGTGGCAGTGATTTCTCTTCAGGCTACTGTACACAGATGGTTGGTGAACACTGTGTTCTGCTTTAGCCACGAGACTCCATTAAATGCTACACACTGGACCTTTTGATGTCCCCGAATCTCACACGTTCAGAAACTGACTTCTGCCAAAGGTCAAGTAACACTGACATTCCTTTTAGTGCAAGCGTTTGTGACTTGGTGCATATTATTGTTGTGTGTGTGTGTGTGAATGTGTGAATATGTGATAAAAGTTGGATTTAGATCTGAAGTGTGTAGGCAGCAAAAAAAGAAACATCTGTGCAGTGCATCTGTCTGATCTGTCAATTTGGTTGATATTGCTCATGGGGGTGTGTTTACCCCCAATCAGTGCTATAAATAAATACACTCTCAGACAACACAACAACGTTAGAATGCTGACTTAAAAAAATATATCAAGATTCAATTCTAAGGCTGAAGAGGGCGAATGAGGACGAACGTGAAAACATGGCTTTGGAAAAAGATGTATGATAAAATCAACTGAATCCTGTGTGAGGGATTTTCAGGACAGTGGGCAGAGCAGAAAGGCCTCTGGAGGAAAAGGACCGTGGTGGAGCACCTGGGTGTAGGAGGAACGACGACGGCGGTATTCCCGACAGGCTTCAGGAATCTTCATTCTCACTATGTGACGGATGGTGATCGGAGATGGGCTGCAGCTTGGTGACGTGGCCGATACCTTTGGTGACGCCCTCTCTGAAGAGCACCTTAGCCCCGACCTTCAGATACTCTGGGTGCTTGATGAACTTGAAGAGAACCACGGCTTTCTCCCCAGTCCTCAGCTCCTCCTGCAGGAAAGAAGAGGAAATAATGATACAGACGAGGGATGCTTTAAGTTCAACTGCCAATATCTGATAATCACATAATCATGCTAATATCGGCTACCTGATATTATTGGTCATCCCTGATATGGATTATTTATTTAAGCAGGAAAATCCCATTGAGATTAGTAGAAAACTGGAAGAATTATTATCTGTGGGACAGCTCAGAGTTAAGCTGAGTGGATGCACCCACCTTCCCGTACACGGCCTCCACCGTCGCCGTCTGCCTCACATTCCTGATGTGCACAGTGACCTGGAAGCCCTTGTGGAAGGTCTTGGCGTGGAAAAGCAGCACAATCTCTGCCTCAAATTTCCAGCAGATTGTAGGTTCCATCTCCGGACTCACCATTACCATACCCTACCAGGGGAGAGAGAAAACCCGATCAGAGGTCAGGGGATAACAACTGTCGGTTGTAGTAGAGGAAATAATTGGTCAGTGTCAAGGCTCCGACCTTGCGTAGTAACGAGCGGTCAAAGTCGCTCAGAGCCAGCGTGGCGGCCTGGCCTGCCTTGAGAACCCTGCACGCCGATCGATTCCTCTGGATGCTCCCTATGGTCAGCTCATGGAACTGACCGGAGTCTGTAGGTCCTACAACGAGACGATCGCCCTCTCTGCAGATACCACTGGAGGAGCACAGACGACAGCTTCACAGAATGATACAAATCAAAGCTGAAGAACTAAGTACTTTATACTAACCTGTACAGAGTTCCACCGACGACAGTACCCACTTCTGGTACTGTGTAGATCTCATCCACCTAGAACATAGAAGTCACTGATGTCAAACGCAGCTGAATCTACTGGACTGTCTAAAATAACAATGTGACACAGTAAAAAACTTCAATACTCTAATTTTAACAAAAACAAAGCATTCTTTCATTGTTGTTCACCAAACTTTCTTCTGTGCCGATATCACTCAATGCATCCTGTACATTTTCCTCTGAGCGCATTACTGCCACCTACAGGGCTGGAGTAACAACAGTGGTGTTCTTAGTGCCAGAAATGTGGTAACTGAGAAAGGTGCATTGTTTGAGCATTGTGTGATCAATTCATTGAATTAAAGACAAGTATGACTTTAATCAAAATGCTGATCAGTTTATTACAAATATTGAGACAACAATAAATATAAAGTTTGGCAGCTTTTGAGAGATCATCTGGCGTACCGTGGTAAATTATCCAATTTCACCAGCTTGATCTGAAAACTACAGTATGATTTATTCTTATTTTATAATAATTTGTCCTCATTAATATATATAACAGTGACAGACAAAACACTAGGTGGCAGCAGATGGCTATAAAAGCCAAAAAAAGAGAGACTTGGCGCTAATGAAGGCCATTTTGTCTTTCATCAATTCCTGCAAGTAAATCAGCGTTGTGTTCAACTAAACAGGCACAGAGTTTAACAGTTAATAAAGAAATTGTGATCATAAACTAGAAGATCTGCGGATTCTTCACTTCACTGCAGACCTACCTGAAACTCAGTCAGCTGCTGCATTAGTTCCTCTTGAGCTTTACTGTTGCTGAGGGGAGGGATGATGTTGAAGAACACCTTGAGCAGGTCCAAACTCTCCCCAGAGACACTGGACAGGGTAAAGATGGGCGTGATGCTGCCGAAGCGGAGCACAAACATGTCATCAGGAAAAACAAACAATGAAACACGGATACTTCCTGGAATTACTGTGTTGAAGTGAAGTCATACTTGGGCGACTGTGCAAACTGTTGTGCGGCTATGACGGCGTCGTCGGTGTTCCCCACCACCATAGGAACCTTGTTGCAGCCCGGCTGCTTCAAGACGCGCTCCAACTGTCGTACAGTTCGCTCCACGGTGGCCCGTGTGCACAGGTCGACTTTACTGACCACAATGAAGATGGGCACTTTCAGGGCCATGGCTAGGCCCAGATGCTCCCGCGTGGTTCCAGCTTAATAATAATAAAAAAATGGAAATTATGAGTGATACTTTTATATATTTTTCTTGACGTTTTCCCATTTTAAGAATTCCATCATTTGGAATTAGTCACAAATAAAAAACAGTGTGTGAAACACAGACATCTACCCGCTGTTATTTGTCTTTCTGTTCCAGCAGTGTACAAAACGAAAAAAAATATTTCTGTCACATTTAGGATTTAAAATTTGTTAATCTTCTTAATATCTTCATCTTAATATATTATAATAATTACAATTTATTAGAATAACAATCATGATCACTTGGTGGCCCTAAATTATTATTATTATTGTTGTTGTTGTTTCTGTTATTATTCACAGATTTGAATTCTACATAATGTTTCGGTCAGTAACACTGTGACTGACGTAAACAACATACCTTCACCTCCTGTCAACTGAGCTGCAGACTGTTTTACTTGTTGTGTGTAATATAACGTGCATCCATGGTGACTGTGAGTCTATAAAGATAGACATAAAAGCGCCTTATCTGCCTGTCAGTGTGATAACGTCTGACGAGGCAGTCTCTAAAAAAGTGAAACCCAAGAACAGAACTCAGTCTTTGGCCGATGACTTCCACAGATCTGTTACTGTGTTTCATAATTAAGGCTGTAGCTCTTGGGTTGCAGACGCCGTGTCCTCGTTTCTGTCTGTCAGCTGAGAGGATCCTCCTTCTTGACCCCGTCTCACCACAGCGTGGTCGAATTTAAAGCTCACAAATGCACTGAACTGCCACCAGAGCAAAAACGCAAACGTGTTTTTAAAGAATTAAAAAACAAAATCTAAAGGATGCTGCCTGTCAAAACATTTGCAGATTTTATAATGCATTTAATACTTAAAAATAATTTTAAAAAATGTACATTTAAGAGAGCATTGAATTTAAAATAAAACAATTAAATTATTTTATTAAGCAACAATTTTGCCAACATTTATCCATTAACATGAATTTGCTAGCTTATAGTTGTTGGATTAAACACGGCTGCTTTTGCCAGGAATTGGAGTACATTTTACACAAATTTAAGCAGTTTAAACATCAAAATAAAAAAAATACTGTTTGACTGTTAAAAAACAACCTGCTAAGAGTATCATATTGCTGGATCTGTTGAAAGCCAAGTCCTTTTAGCAGCAGATAACAGAGAGAGAGACTTCTAAAGATCTGTTGACATTTGGCCTCTTTTACGCTACAGTTCACCAGGGCGTGAAGACGTTCTGCAATGTTGGCATTCCTCTGACATCCCTGCACTTAGTGCCCCCTCCACAGGTTTCAGGTTCAACAAACCTTCACTGGGTCAGAGGAGTCTTTGACATGAATGGATGGCATGTGAGATATTTTTGGGACCAGCAGTGACAGGCAGGATGAGAGCGGGCAGGAAGACTGCCCTGTTACATAAGCTCAGATATCATATGTTTGGCAAGTGTTCAGCCTCAGCTGGTGAAGTCTGCGACCTCACGAGGTGAGGTGGGGGTGTACACAAACATAGCCCTGCTGTCATGTCAGAACTGTGTGTCCTTCACCTGCCTTGGTCCAGTTCACACTCTTAACATTTGAAAAGCAGAACACTCACCAATGCCAGTGCTTGCACTGACGACCAGCATGGCAAAATCTGGACAGTAGCTGGTGAGGCCGAAGATGGTGGTTTTCAGGTACTTGTGGTGACCGGCCAGATCAATGAAGGTGATCATTTTAGACGCACTCTCACAGATCTCCTCCGCCGTCCGAGACTCGCTGTAATTGACAACCTGTAACAACAACAAAAACATGATTCATTCTACTACTTGAAGCTATTTCTGGGCCTATTCGTCGCCCTCTTCTGGTCGGCTCATTTCTCACCTCTCCTTTGCTGTTGAAGCCCAGGATCTCAAAGCTGATGCTGGAAGTCCGTCCAGTCTGGATCTCGTGAAGATGTCTGAAGAGGTTGAGTCTCGCTCTTCCACGTCCGTTGTCCAGCTCACCTTGTGTCAACACACCCAACAGAGTGGATTTACCTGAGTCCACATTCCCCAGTACAGCGACCCGTAGATCTAAGAACTGCAGAAAAAACAAACAAAAAAAACAATAAGATAAATACTACTGACAATTGAGAACAAGCAAGTAACAACGTTTTTGTTAAATCCTAAAAAGTAAAATACTAAAAATTACTTCGATTAAATTATTTTGATTATATTATTCTTACTAACCTGCTGGTCATCTGGCACTTTACGAACAAGAACCTCTGCGATTTTACGAGGAACCTCAGTGTCGTACTCCACTTCCTGCTCTCGGAGAACGGTGATGTCGGCACCGACTCTGTCAGAATAAAGGGAACAACTAGAGCTTAGAGCTTGACAGATACACGAAGACAGAGCGTTCTATTTTCATCACAGATTTCCCTGTTTTTTTTAGTCCACCTTGAAACATGAAATCTAAACATATAAAGACCTGATGTCACATTTGTGACTCACTTCTCTGCCAGTCGATGGAGCGTCCTCAGTGAAGCCCTCATCTCCTCCTCTGACAGTCCCACCGCCATCCCATTGTCCTCCACACCTATTTGATAAACGGCTTCACCGCGACCCTCCTGCAGTCTCCACTTCATCTGTGTGGCCAGGTGCTCGAATCGATACTGCGTAGGGTTCACCAGCTTCAACTAGACAGGAGAAGGATTACATGAATGAATGAGAACTCAAGGTACAGAGAGTGTAAGTCCAAAAATGGTCTCGTCAATACGTATAATTGCAGACACTCTTTTATTTGTTGTTATTCTGTTTAAGACAAAAAGACCTTACACGCTGCATGGAGGTCGAACCCCTGTGCTTACCTTGTACTCTATATTCCCCTCTTCAGCCTGAGAGAGAAACAAAGGGGAAACAGAACAGAGAGAACAGCTGTCAGACTGTGAGGAGTCAAACAACAGGCTATTGATTTGTGGAAAGACACAAAGAAGAGAAATCTGACTGAATGCACAGCCTGAGTGCACCACTGTGAATGGTGAGAGGCTGAAACAAATGCGTAGCGGTGAATTGTTTAGACAGCATTACTGTGGGATATAGTGTGTTTGACCAAAATGTTTTTAAAGTCAGTATTATTTATCATAATCTCACACACTTCTGTGTATGTACCGTACACTAGCGGAGCAATGGAGTTGACATGTCTGAGATCTAACAAACTGAAAACTATGGGATGTGTCGTGACATGTCCACGGAGCCTGGCTCTATGAGGTCATAGGTCACAGAATGAGGAAATTAGCACAACTGTAAATATAATAACATTATATAATAACAGTATATAAAATTATATCATTATATATAAAAAAAAAACACTTCTGAGTGAAGGTGCTGCTGCCTGCGTTAAGACTCGTAATTTTAAACATTTCTGTTAAACAGACTTTTACTACGATACAACTCTTGACACGGGCGTGTAAACGTTGTAGTAGAATACTATTACTGTGTAATAACACGTCTGAGAACGCCGTAAAGTCACGCCCCCTAATAGTTGTTTACAAACACAGCTGTTAGGTTTCCGTTAACACAAAACACAAACACCAACCACGTAGGGCACTTCGTTTCTGTGGGCAATAGTTCGAGGTTATATCGTCTAACAACAAACGTAAACGCTAATGTTGTGATGCTGCAACAATTTAATTCATTTCCGCCGCCGTAGCGACTGTAGCTACGTGTCACTCTATGGATACGAGTCAAGCCAGAATAACGTAATGTTGATTTACTCAATAACAGAAAATACAATACATTAGTATTCGTTTATGTTGAAGTGTAACAAACAATCACTTATTACAGTTTTTGTGTTAACACTCGACTTAACGACACTTTACGATACAATTAATCCGTGGTCCCTTTTTATAGCTATTACGGTAAATCCAGCAAGACAGCCGTCAGTGGAAAGTTTTCCAACTTCCGGACCTTCAAAATAAAACAATTTAAGCCTAAATACGGTGTTTATTTAAATTTACGTTCCGAATGTCTTCCGCAGTTTGCTGTGAAACAAAAATATATTTAAATTCTAGCATTCCCACGCGCCACTACATATTCATCTCCTAATTCCATTTAATATTAATGTAATTTGATCAAATAAATTAAGCGCCTTCAAAAGACTTGCACTGTCGCACTTTATTTTGAAAAACCGTTTAGAGCGCTCTTCGCTATGTTTTGTAGAGCTATACCCTAGTACCTGTAATACTGAGGCACTCTACATTTTATTGTGGTTGGTGTTGAGGCAAAGAGAAGGAAGTATTTCGCTTAACTATAATTGTATAAATACCGGTTGTTTCAGTTAGGCATTAGGATGGTTTGAGCAGCTGTGCTGATATCAGCCTCACCTCTGGAGGTAGATACGGAGCATTGTTGCTCGCTTTGAAGTTGACAGAGAACAGAGGTTTTGAGTTCCTCTTGCTCTTCTTTGATGCTTTTCTCAGAGCTACGTTGTAGCTCTTTGACGTCCTGTGGGTGCTGTTGCTGCTGTTGGAGGCAGACGCTGAAGAAAATGATCCAGATTCGGGTGCATTTCCTGATCCAAATAAGTCCGATACCCGCTCATCCATCAGCTAAACCCCGGCCGGGACCCTTAACTTGTTAGCCCGTCCACTAACTAGCTAAAAAAACGCAACTATAAACCTGAAAACGTATAAAAACAATTTATTTTAAAGTTACAATGGATGTCGGGCGATAGCTAGCAGCCCCGCGAAAATAAAAACAGCCCCCTGGTCTCTTAAAATTCACAATAACAATGTCGACGTCCGCCGCCGGGGCTGAGCGTTTTGACTTTTAAGTGGGGATACGTCACAGCCATGAACATGGGTATACTTGATTTGTATTCGTTGGGAGTGCCAGTGGGCGGATTACTCAACCCTATCTCTTGACTACATGTTTGTTTTTTTTTAACACCACCCGTCTCTGTCTTTAAAGGTAACAATGTCACGCACACCCAGGCACAGGTGTCGGGTTTTGCTGCGCTTTGCGTCAGTCGAAGGAGGAACCAATAAATACGTGTTCGATAAAAACAGACTTTGACAGATGATTGTTCTTACAAGCTGATGTAAGAAGATATAAATTAATGCAACACAAAAATACATAGTTTTTAGGATAATACATCTTCTTATTAAATTACTTTAAATTAAGATATAATTGCTGTTGTGTCTATTTAACACTGGGACTTTACTTCTAATGGACACTATATCCAGCTTCACAAGTTATTTATATTTATTTACTTATATTTAGAGCTATATTTTAATGCCTAAGGATAGAAATAATAATAATAATAATAACAATAATATCAGTAAAGAAATACGGATGTAAACTGCTCATGTTTTTCGTATACAAGCCACACAAAAAAAAAACCTAACACAGCACACATTCATAATAAGTAGTAAAAGTGAAAAGACAAATGCCTTGTATGTTGTTTTTAGGGACGTTCCTCGAGACATGAGGTAAATTATAGAAATGTAGTTCCACCAGTTTTCACGAAACTGAAAGTATGCAGTCTCTTAAATTCGTTCTTAAGAAGTTTCCAGTATAGGCGGATCTGAAACATTTTATTTGTTTTTATATATTTTTATATGAGTTCTATGGTCTGATCTTTTATATAATTTTATAATTCTTTAAAATTTACAACATATCTTATTACACAGAGACATAAATGACAATTATTCTGTGATTGTTTTGTAGACAACGAAACTAAAATCAACTAAAAATAAAATCCACCGCTTCCCTAAACCTAAGTTTCAAATTGAAACATGCAACGTCTCCTCAAGCAGTAAAAAAAAGCATATTTAAAGTTCTCCAGCAGATGGCAGCCGTGCATAAAAAGAACATTAGGAGATTTTATCTCGTGCAACTGTATTGTATATGCAGCTTTAACTATTTATGTAATTCATTTTATTAAAACATATATAAATATAAAAATATTTTGGTTAGGCTACAAATATTTTTGACCCTTCATATTCGGAAGAATCAGGTGAAAGTCACTCCCACCAGTCAAGGGTTAAATTATATAAAATGTGTTTAAATATTTAAAACAAAATTATATCAGGAAACAACAGTCAAGCAGTGTTTCTTTTAAAAAATCAAACCCACTGTATCACAATCCTTTCAGAGGATGTTGACCTCCACAGAAGGATGAGACATTGTTGGAACACAGTTGCCATGGTAACTACATTCCCCAAATGGATAGCGTCATTAACCTCAGTAAAGTGAAAGAGGTCTAAAAGCCACTGGGGGTTAACAATTATACAGTGATTCTAAATTGACATCAAACCTGGGGTTTGTGGGTTCTAGGTACAGTAGAAAACAAAAAAAAAACAAAACAATATTACATCAAATGTAGAACTTCTCAGCAGACCCTGCTGTGGCTGCTGCTCAATGATATTCAACGTATTTACCTCAAAGAGAAGTGAGATCTTTTTAGATTTTTTTTACCAATAGGAGGCTAAATGCACATTTATGTACATGCACAAAAGAGGAAATTTCTTTTTTTTATATTCCCTAATTAATTCTGTGTTTCATTTAATTTTAAGTGTTGCTAACGCGTTAATGTTGGATGGATTTTACGGACCTGACAGTAAAACGCTCGTCTTCACTTACTGAAAAATCAATAACACCCTGATACATCTAAACACATCAGGGAACATTAAAGTAATATTAAACCAATTTCTACTCCAACGCTGTCGCTCCATCTTCAGTACAGATCGTTGAAAAGCCTCTGAAGACCAGATGATCAAGTCTGAACTCAGGAAGGATGACTCCATCCTGACTTGGGGATGACATAATCAGCTCCTTGCCAGGAAGCCTGAGATGATTAACTGGCTACGCGTTCTTCTTTCTCGTAAACTGATAGGTGCAGCGATTCTGTATTTCTCACCCGGACTAATGAGCTGAAGTGTACTCCACTTGTCCCAACAGGTTTCACTGTCTTCATTAGTCATTCAAATGAATGTAATGTCCCCTGGGGACAGCAGCAATCTCTCATTCATCTTCAAACCACAAACACAGATATTCTGCTGTTGGAGTAAGAGCTGTCATTAATTTTCTCTCCTGGAACTTCTGGATCTGTCAAGCAGAAAAAAATAAAATTGACTGGAAATTGGGGAAGGGCCTACATGACTGTGTTATTTATATTTTTTCTATTCAATAAAGCTCAGAGTAGATGTCTGACATTTTGGGTGGAAAAAAAAGCTAACAATATTTCTGCAGCTCCAAAGTGTTTGGAAATGTTCCTTTCGTTTTCCAAACTGGAGCCAAACAGAGTAGAGGAAACAGTTGGTCACAGACGGTGCTGAGGTCGGATCGGCCGAGGACGTGACATGGAAAGAGGGACTCACCGCTACGATCCGCAGCTGCCCTTACCCTCCGACCAACGACAGGAAAATGCAGGAAATGTTTACTGATGTTGAAATGGTTCCACACAACAGGTACCGACACGACGCAGAGTCTCTGTGTTTGAGCAACAGCAGCGAGAAATGTGAATGAAGTGACAACCTAAGAAGATTTGAATGGCTGCCGGTTTAAGGTCTTTGTACTAAACTGGTTACTATTACTACTGCAAATAGAATGACAATTAGGACAAACAAATACTCTTCCAAAAGGTGGCAGCAGATGGTTATAAAAATGATATAAACACACGGCTGTTGAAGAAGATCTCAACGTGTGTCTTTCTTCAATTCCTGTGAGCACGTCAGTGTTGTGTTCAATTATTTTCCAGAACTCTGGGCTAATTCTCCTCTCAACCTTAGCTTGGTTAATTATAACCTGATTGGTCCAGATAAAACTTTTGCGTTTCAGTTTAACTTTAAGTTTAACTCGCGTTTCTTTCTTTTTGAGTTTGTTTACGCTTTAACAAACATCACACATCCTCTGTTGCTTCTTCTCCAACTTTTTGAACTTGGTGGTTGACACAGCGCCACATACAGGTCTGACATATGTACTACAGGGACTGGAGTCATATTACCATAGCCTACCGTATCTGTAGGCTCTGTAGTCGTACTAAATCGCAGCCATGGACCGTGGTGACGTAACAGGAAACAGATTCATCGCAGTAGTAAAAACATACAGTGTTTACCTGAGACGATTGTTGAAACCTGGCTCTGAACTGAACGTCAGCATTTTGTGCTCGCTGGGAGGTAAAGAACGGCGAACAGAGGGAGAATAATTTGCAACAATGTGGCAGTGGAACAGTGCTACGGAGGTGAAGGTGGAGGTGATGGATGTCCTGCTTCCTGGTTTTAATGAACATGTAGTGTGGAGCTCAGAGCTCTCCCACTCTGCTTCCACTCCTCTACTGTAGACTCTTTAGGGAAATGAGGAATGATGAGTGAACAGAATGTGAAAATGGAGGAGATGCAGAAAATAAAGCAGTGCAAGAAAAAGTGAAACGCTAAAGACGTAGATGTGAGAATAAGAGTGAGAGAGAACAAAATAAAGAAAGAAAAAAAATTAGGAGAGAAAAAAGGAAGAGGGAAAAGTCATCATCAGGGAGAGGGAGCGTCGGAGCGGACGTGTCATTACAGACGCAGCCTTAGGAGAACTGAAGTGAAGTGTTTGGTGAAATGAATTATGAAAATGTAGTAGCACTCAGAGCACAGTGTGAAGGCTAACGAGTGGCACGGCTCCATCTCCATGCTGCTGAAAGAAGACGAAATGTATCCTTAAAAAACAGAATAAAAAGTCAGACTGAGGATCAGAATCAGAATTATAAATACTTCACTGATCACTGACTGTACAGGCTGGATGGTTTATCATCATGTAGACCAGCGGTGCTCAGGTTTTTTTCCTGTAAAAATTGACTACCATATTTTCTGGACTATAAGTCGCACCAGCCAAAGGATGAAAAAAGTGCGACTCACAGAAGTAGCAGATACTGGTACACAAGCCTAGAGCGCCCTCTAGTGAACGTCAGTGTGAAAATAACAAACATATGAAATTATGTTTTAATATATAAGTCGCACGACTTATAGTCCAGAAAATACGGTATATCATTTTTTCCGTTGATATTGTCACTTCAAAAAAAAAACAAAAAAAGAAGGTTGGTCTTAAACAGTCATTCATGTCACATGACCTATTGGGTAAGTGAGCTCTGTTTCCAGCCCTGGAAGAATTTTGCCCCTGACTTCGACCAATCACAGGACAGTTCAGAGAGTTCTCTGCCTCGTCTCCTCAGAGGCTTCATTATTAATAACAATAAAATGCAAACGATTACATTTTATGAAGGAGAATAAACTCTCAGTATTTAATGACCTGAATATGAGACTCAACCATAAAGGACACGCCTGTATCCCTCGCTGCAGTTTTAACAGAACTCCCGTGGCCACATTCAAATGTTCTCTGTTTTTCCTCCTCTTCTGTTTCAGACGTTCATCTTTTTAGGCTAAATTCTTTGCACCATTTTAAAATAAACGCAGAACATCTTAACCCACTTTCCTCTCCGGTCTTTGGTTTCCAGATGACCTGACCTGCGGGGCGTGAGAGCTGCTTCTCATACCACTGCCTTCACGCTCGCACACAAGTCCATCCGCAAAACCAAACAAGCAGAGTGAAGCCCGGCCGTATCTTCAGCTCCAGTATCTTCAGCTGCCTCAACAAAAACAAATGTGACGTTTTTACCCTGTTATGACAACAAGCGATGGCTCGGTGAGATGACTAATCCAGAACCCGATCATCCTGAGCACCAGATCATTCAACTACTGCTTTGGACACTACGGTTTCCATCCCCTGTGTTGTAAACAATCAAAACGCAGACTCAACACGTAGACGTCTAGCTTTTCAGATTTTCTTTGAGCATCAGAAAAATCCCACAGTGAAGGATGCTGGGAATAGAAGTTGGTCCTGAAAAAATACGCAGTAAATTACAATTTAGAAATGTCGCACCAGTTAGCCAAGCATTTGTCGTAAACTGTCATTTACGCCACCTGCTGGTTTGTACCTGCACTCACCATTACACCTCTGTTACATCCACGAAAACCAAGCTTTTTTTTACAGTTGTTTTAATTCTGCTAACAGTCGTCTCGGTCCATTTCCTTTATATGGTCAATGAAATCGCTATTTCCTCGCCTCCTGTAAAAAGTCACCATAACTGGAAATGGAATGTGGAACCAGTAAAAACAGAAAAAAAAATGCAGAAAATGCTGTACTGACACTAACGCTGTTTTTAGTGTAAGCAGACCATGATCCAACTGAGGTTCTGTGTGGACATGAAACATGGAGAGAACTGCTGCGGATTCAGTTACATCTGAAGTGGAACAGAGTTCAGATGATGTTTTTTTAAAGGAAGGAGTTCAGGGAGGTGCAGACGTGGTCACCACTGCTGCTGCTGCTGCTGCTGCTGCTGCTGGATCAGGCCGTGTTATGACACCTGCAAGCAATGAGTGAGTCAGCAAGATCCTCCAGACCAGAGGTCTCCAAACAGCCCCAGCAGGGCGGGAGGCCCGGAGCTTCAAAGGGTATCACCAAGAAGAACTTGGGATTTTGAAGGTGTCAACGTTTATTTATTTACTGAAGTGAGGAGCACATAATTAAATTCACGTCCAAGAAAGTTCTCTGAAAGCCTCTCCCTGAGTTAGGGAGCGTTTCTTAGATGGAAAAGATAAAAAAAAAAAGGAGCAAACGCAGTGACTTTGACTTGCATGTTTAAGGAACTATAAAGGCTTTCTAAACTAAAGTAAACGCAGTGACTTTGACTTACATGTTTAAAGAACTATAAAGGCTTTCTAAACTAAAGTGAAAAAACAAACAAATAATAAAAAAATACATATTTTAAAAAAACTAAAGAAAAAACTAAAAACATAATAATAATAATATTTTTATTTGAAGCACCTTTCAAGGAACCAAAGAACACTGTACAGAAAAAACAAGACACAAAATAATAAAATAAATAAAATGAAAACATGTGACAATAATATCATGTGTCTTTTGTAGCGTGTAAACTCCCGTTGTCTCCTTCTCTTTGTGAGTATAAATGGGTGAGGTTTTGTCCTCGATACGTACAATCACAAACATCTCTATGGTTCCCCCGAGAAGCTTGGGAACCACAGTTCCTGACACTGGAGCTCCACCACAGAGTCTTTGAGGCCTTCTGACTTCTACACCTCCCCCGTCTCCCTTCTGTCTTTCTCTGGCCTCCGTCGCTTCCGTTTTCATCGTTTTATTTTAAACCTCATCATAAATAGTTCTCCCAGTTCCTGAATGTGTTATCACGTGAGTTCATGGTAAAAAAAAATTCTCCACACTCAGCACTTCTGCTTTTATTTCTGATTAAAGCTTCTCCCTGAAGACTCTTCCCCCTCCATCCCCCCTCCCTCTTTGAACTCTCCTATTTTTTAATGAATTCTTTCGTTTTAGCCGGTGTGGAAACTCTGCCAACTGTACGGAGCGCTCTGTTCCTCTGTGTTGGTGCGAATCTGTTTTGACAACCAGAGAGAGAAAAGTTGTGATAATGAACTCCAGGACTGATGAATTATCCTCCCGTGACAGAGCGGCCTTTTTTATCAGCATCTCAAAATAATTTGTACAGCTGAGAGTTTGAATCATGAACTCTCTTTGTCCAGAGAGAACACTTTCCTCACGGACGTAGGGTTTAGAGTTGGTTTACTACCACAGTCTGATCCGTTCTTCTCTGGAATCAATTCCATTTCCAGAAAATGAATTCAAATTGGATTTGAGTTTTATGAGTAAAACCCGTTCATATCAATCAGACTTACTCTGGTGGTCATGATAATGAGTGGATTTCCTGAGTCATCCAACGGTACGTCCAAAGATTCCCACAGAGAGATGTCTTGATATCAAAGTTTTCTGATTTAAATAAAACCTAAAACCCGTTCAGAGCGGTCCGTCAAACGTCTCCAACACCCGTGAACAAGTTTTATTCTTAAATCCACTCAAACAAATTTTCAACCCAACTTGAATGAAAACCATTTATAATTACTGAATAAAGTTAGAATTAGATTTTCATCAAAGGCTATAGTTCTAACTCAGCCCAGCTGCATTAACAGCACCACCTGCAGGGGAGAAAAACGGAACAAATTACAAAGATTATTTTTTACGATTTATCCACTAGGGACACTGCAGGTAGAACACAGCCTATCAGCCAATCAGGAACATTAAAGGGAAGCAGAGCCCACATTGATTCAACACACCCTCTGGTGTCGTGATTAATTACTTGTAGCAGTGAAGCCTTTAATGATCGTGTCCGTGCAGCCACCCTGCTGCTAATTAGCATGCTAGGAGAGAAGAAGGCGACGGTGGAGCTGACCAGAAACACACTCACACAGACACATATAGGACTCATGGCCAGACTTTGGTCAGGTTATGTGATTGGAGGTTGAAAAATCTCTGGACTAACAGTGACCAATGAGTGTTCATGAACAATCCCTGCTGATCTTCCTCCATCTCTGCACCAATGAGTGTTCATGAACGATCCCTGCTGATCTTCCTCCATCTCTGCTGCTCGTGTCCATTCTGTTGTTCAAACAGTGTAGGCTATTCCTCTGTGAGACCACAGGTATTTTTAGGCGTTTCTCTGTGACAGTAGCCGTGTCCTAGTTCAAGGCCTGGAGCCTACGTCAGCTGAATGTGGAGACTTCAAGGTACTAAAATGATTGGTATTTTAATTGCTGCTTTAAGAATTATTTCACAATGAGATAGACTTATCAGATCAGGTTGGTTCTAACACTGAATCTTTTAAAGCGGATCAAAGTTTCCAGACAACTCCTGTAAGATACGACGGCGGCTCTAGACCCAGAGTTATAAAGCCTGGTTCAGGTGAGCTTCACCTTCAGTCTAAGCCAAGTGGACCACCGAAGGAAAACAACTCTGGTTCTTTCAAAGCCAACCATACACCTCCGGTGGTAATATACCCTTCGTGTCTATCTCTGTTATCTAACGAGAGCTGCTGACCTCATTTCTATTCTATTCTGGCTCCGATGGCATCCACCCAAGAGGAAACCGACGGCGCATCTGTATCCACCCTTTCACGGAAACGCTGAGACTTCCTCTGACTGAGCAGCAGATACCATCGGACCCTCGGCCATGACTCAGGATGGCACGGCTTAACGCCAAAGATACATATCGGACGCTGCCACTGTAACACCCGGTGATTCCACGGGGACAGAGGGATGAAAAAGAAAATCAGAGTGAAGATACAATCATGTTTGTGTCACGGGTTTTCCTGTTTCATTTATAGATGAGGATGACATATTTTGGGGTGTTGTTGTGTATTCTGCTGAGGGTGAGGGTCTATTCAGTCCAGAATCTAGAAACAAGAAAAAAAGACCAGACACAGGTTTATTTTTACCACAAGGACTGAAATAAAGGGAATAAATAAAAATAAATAAATAAACGGGAAGGCTTCTGATTTTTTTCCAGAAACTGAAATATAGCTCACTATAGATAGATAGACATCATAAATATACACTTAAATATTTGAACAAGTTACTGTAAATTATAACTAAAGTATTACAGTACTTTAATCAAGCTTTAATTCATCAGTGAACAGCTCATTTCTCCTCCTCACAGGCTGCAGTGGTCGTTGATAGTCGTTGACTATCAGTCTGTCACCTTGCTCCACTGAAGTGGTGCCGACTCACTTAGCCCCTATCTGAAGGACTGTGCTTTGTGAGCAGCTCAGTTCGAGTGGTTTAGCATTGTATTCCAGAGACTGAGTGACTGTAAAGAGAAGGTGTTTTTACCAGACGGAGACGGTCGCCAAGGCAATTTTGACCATTAATTTAAAAGAAAACCAAAGGATATCCACTCTTATAAAAAAGTAAGCCAAAAAAAAAAAAACCAAAACTCTACAAACTGAACTACACAGTTCTCAAAGGATGACTCACAGCTCACAGACATAGAAAAAAGGGCTAAAGGCTAACCAAACTAAAAGCTAAGCAAAATGCCACACTGAATCATCTAAAAAATAACCAACTCTGTCAAAAATTAACTTTTTTTTTTCCAGTCAGAGGGAATAATACAATGACAGTAGAAAACAAACAACTTCTATTTAGCACAAAGAATGAACAAGAATACAGCAAATTAGCAAAAGGCTAACCGAAAAGGAAAACTTAAGACGAAAAATGTAAGCATTTAAGTAATATGTTCTGTAAAAAAAAAATTAAACATTTATGATGTTAACAGACGTGCTTTGTCTTAACTGTAGGGGGCACTTTCTTTTTGTTAAGTGTCAGCGGTGGGGGACGAACACTGGCCTGTACTTGACCTTTGTCAACGTTACTGCACCCGCCCCCTCACCTCACCGCCCCCCCCCCTGTCTCTGTGGGAGTCAAGTATGAAATAAAGGCCTCGCTGACATGTGGGCAGACACACAAAGCATCATTTAGCGTGGAGTCATTTGTCACATCAAAGCATTCCTGGACACACGGAGGGAGGCGGCGTGTAATCTGTCAGAGTTGAACGTAAACAGGCCACGCAGAGCAGCAGGCTCAGCAGAACCCCCCCCCCCCCCCCCC